CACTAAACTGAGTGCAGCTTAAGCCTCATTAAGAACACAGTGTAGTGAGAACATCCATGTTGGAAGAGGGTTTTGTGTCAGGCTGCAATAATTGGATCCAGTTTATGTTGTGAGCTGTATGCTACTGATGAGATGAGGCTGTGGGAATACTTAACACAGAGGGCAGCTATGAATCCCTACATCCTAAAGTGAAGCTATGCTTCAGTGCTAAACTACAAAGAGGTTTTAACTGCTTATGAAACAGTGTCAGTTTAATACTGGTACCTCTATATGACCTACATAAACTAACAAGACCATCAGTGAGAAGATTGGCTGTTTCTATGTAGTTATAATTAGTCCCTCTAATAAGTTGCTCTGTTGCGATTGCAACAATTACTCAAATTCAATCAATTCCTGTGAATTCTGTGCAACCTAGCAATTTTGTCCAATCACCGCAACTTTTCCACAAATTTGACCAATCATTGTAGTTTCCTGCACAAAACGTTGAGCCATACGTCACCAAACTCACTTCCTTGTTTCTAGTTGTGAAGATGCAGACTTATGTGACTCGTATGTCTCACATTTATCCATTTACCACATTAACATTTTATTCACACTGGAAAAAGTTGCTTTTGATTTTTAATGAATTATACAACTATTTTATTAATTTGCACTTTGAATATGCCTAAAAACATCCAAACATTAATCTGAATAATGTTTAGAAAAACTGCCCCAAAATCAGGTATTTTAGGCCACAACTTGCAAGCAGTGCTTAGTGGTTGCTGGATCTACGTGGCTGTGAGTGTGCTGACCGTGCTAAAAAAAACAAACTGGATGCTTGTTTTGTGCGCTGTATGTAGCCAACTGTACTTCCCACTCTTTATTGTGTTCCTGTTCAGCCAGATACAACAAATAAGTTGTAAAAAAAAAAAAAAAAGCAGATCAGTGCTTAATACTGCTCAATTGTAAACTTAGTGCAGTCAGCACTGTTGTTGTATAAAATCAACAACCACATGCTTTAGTGTGGAAACTGGGCACAGCCACCTTCTCCCTACATGAACCACTGTGGCCCCTCCACACTCTGTTTCCTTTTTTCTGTTACACTGGTCACATTTGTTTTACATAACCCAATACTATAAAACTGCAAACATCCCTTAAGACAAAAGTTCAACTTACATTTCAACATATTCCTCCCAACCTTCTATGATAGTGTAATGAAAGTGAATTTAGTGAAATAAAGTGAATTTATCACATGACCAAAGCAAGACTCCAATGATCCTCCTGGAGAAGTGGTGGGAAGCATTTATTGAAAGCTGTGATCAGTGGATAAGACACGCAATAACATAAAACCTTTAAGCCATGTTAAAAAGTCATTTTCCGTCCAACCAGTGATAAAGTGGCCTAATTAAAGACAGCAAAGCTCCAGGAAAGCTCCAAATGTCAGGATGATAAAGCTGTGTGTGTGAGAGGGGAGCCCATGTACATCTGCACACTAGAAAAAGTCAGTAAAAAATGATACTCCTGAAGTAGTTCATTTTGGCCTAATTAGCCAAATATTGTTAAATATTTTCAAAAAAAAAAAAAAAGGCTCTCAGAGTGGTGGTTGGTGTTTCAAATCTGTAATTATGAAGAATGTAGGATGAAATTTAGATATAGCTCCCCCATATAAAAATTGAGTCATAAAAAAAATTATTAAATTAAATTTATATGATGAATTGTTGAGGAAGAATTTAGAAGTCTCACAGCTCACAACAGAGTCTGGTACGCCAGTGGAAGCTTCTGTACCTCTTCCCAGAATGCAGTAAGTTAAACAGGCTGTGGCTGGGCTGCATGCTGTCTTTTAATATTATTTGGGCTCTGCACAGGCACCTGATGCTGGGTAGTTTAGTACCAATAATCTTTTGAATGGTTCTAACCACACGCTGCTGTCCTCCTGTCCTGGGCTGTACACATCCCACGCCAGTTTGTTAAGTTTACAGTCAGGATGCTTTCTATCACTCCTCTGTAATGTTAATTACTAGTAATTTTGGCGTGGGAATTGTGCTATTTTAAGTTTCCTTAAGAAACACAATGAACTCCTGAGCTTTCTTAACCAGGGTGCAGATGTGACATGACCATGACAGGTTCTTCTCCTTTTTCCTGAAATCAACAATCAGCCCCTTGGACTTGCTGACATTGAGCAGAAGGTTGTTTTCTGTGCACCTCTCTGCAAGAAGGTTGACAACATGAAGTCTTATCATGGTTTGAAATCAGGCTGATCAGGAAGGGGGTGAGGGAGCAGGAAAAATAAATTACCTTAATGCAGTTACCCCGTTATTGTATATGTGACACCTGTAGTTACTGGTGGTAATTAACACATTCCATTTCCTGTAACTACTTCATAATAACTTGTGTTTCACCAGTTAAATGGTTAAATGCTTTTAATGTGAAGCTGCAGCAGTAGGAAATGTTCAGTTTGCATTAGCAGTAACTTAAAGGTGAAAGCTGCAGGAAAATAACTTTTTGTCATTTACTGAAACTCATTATATCCAGAGAGTAGTACATGAGACGGATAATCAAGTTTCTCTGGGTCCTCCTAGTGCTCCTAATGGCATTTGCAAGAATCCACCACGGTTGAAAGAAAATAACCAATTGGAGTCACGAGGAGTCTCTAACACAGTGTTAATTACTGCTTGTGCACACGCTTTGTGGGGCCACCGAGCACTGGAGGGGTCTTGGCGAAGCTCATGCCGTGAAAGGTTAGCCCTATCGGGGAGGAGGTTTTGCAGGCAACCGGCTCCTTCTGCTATGCTGTGAGTTTGGTAAGAGGGGCTTAGCAGAGTGATACGAGAAGCAGAGTGTGGAAGGTTTTGCATTGTGTATGTTCAAGTTACCCACTACAGCTTTAATACAGCATTGTCTGGGAATGTCGCCACAGACACCCAGTTCAATGTTTTCTTGATGTTTGTTCTATTAGCTCTGATTGTTTTAACTGCGTACTTTTGGACAGGACAAGGCTGTTTATAAGAGAGGGAAGGCTCTGTGAATATATATATAAATATATATAAACTATATAATATAGTCCTCAGAGTTTACATCTTAAATAATAATCGAAACTTTAAAAATTAAATTTCATTTAGTTTATTTTTTGAATGAGATACAGGCCTTAAAATACCTTAAAATCAAGAAGGCTTTGCAAGCACCTGTGATGTTTTGGTGACCTCTAATGTGGGTCCCGACCCCCAGGTTGGGAACCACTGCTTTAATGGCTTCTCCAGTATTGCAGTTCTGTAAAGAGAGAATGGTCAAAATTGAAGCAGCATCCTCACTTGTAGTTTCTAGCATGGGTTGAGCTCCAAAAGACTGGATCCTACATTCCCAGTGATGCAACCGGATAGCATAACACAGGCTTTATGGTATACATTTATTCTGTTTTTACTATTACATTGTTTTCACAGACTGAGGTGTTGTAACTGACTCTGTGATAAAAATAAAAAAAAAGCTTTGTGTAGCTTGGCATGTGGCTATCCATATTACAGAAAATATACAGTATGTTATTTAATTCACATTAATTCCATTTTACTGTAGCATGTACTCCAGAGACAGGCCTTCAAATTACACAAATACTTCCTCTCCTCTGAACTGTATTCATCATTAAATAAAAAGCACCTGTAAAATCAACTGAATAAATCATAAAGCAGTAGTGTAAACCTTTATTTTCCCCAGTATATTTTTCACGTGGGTGTGACTGTGTAAGACATGTTTATGTCCACTTAGCTGCTGCTGAAACGGAATAAGGAAGCTCACCAACTACTCCAAACTAACAATATACAGACTGTAAAACAAAATAAAACAGTCAAAGAGCTAGAGGACAATCCACATTCAAATTTGCCTTTCTGCTTACTTCTAAATAACACCAGCTGGCATCCAGTCTGTGAGTCACTGTGCTTTGGACGGGTTGTCCCTTTTGCTGTGTTTTTGCACCACTGCTGTACCACCTCTGCTGTGAATTCAGGGTGTCATTTTTTTTTTTTTTTTACAGTGTAACATGTATATATGATGTGTATGTCAGAGCCTGCAGCTCAGACAGTGTAAAATGCCACACAGCTCTGTGGACAGCATCAGCCAGAGCAGCCAGAGCAGTAAGTTGTAGGACTGGATCAGTGGCATTTAGACTGAACTCAACTATGTCCAACCACATACAGCCTGTACAGTGCCATCAGCCATATCTGTTGGTTCGTAAGACATAGAGGTATGGAGATTGCCTACAATGGAGGACTTTAAAAAATTAAAAGGGCACCAGCACACAGAAAATTGTGATGCATTTATGGTGAAACTGCTTATTCTGGGGTAGGATTAGCAATCTAGAGGGCACAGTTGTATATGTAGATAACTTGTGTTATATAAATAAAATGTAATTAAATTGAATTAGAGGGGCACCCTAGATGGCACTTTATCATGTTTTGTCACAATTTCTCCCTGAACACCTAAATGATGGTTGTGCTGTCAGTCTGCCTGTTAAGTGCTGAAGGTTGACACCAAGTATCAATGTCAGTATCTTTGGTAAAGTTTTGGATAAGTTTATTGGATAATTCCCTCAATCTACTTATGTTTCAATGACAATCCCTCTCCAGCTGTGTGCCATCTGAAGCTGAATGACTGCTGTGTATTTTTATCCTCCCTGAAACTGTTGTTCTCATCATCTGCAGAGCTGAATATTGTTCCTCCATTATAACAGGATTTATCCACACACTGCTGCACATTCACAACATGGACACTACACAGCAACTGATCCATAAAGTGCTGCTGTCAGCTTCTCATTCACACACGGGTTAACGTCACTGAGTAAGACGCCTCCAGAGTTTATATACAGTGTAAACTGAAATGAGACAGAGTTCAAGTGTGAACATTTTGATATAGCCACACATTTAATCTTGTCATATCAGCTTTTTCGTGTCCTCTCGTGTCTTTTCGTGCCCATGTCTTTTCTCATATTCTCCTATATTTTCATCTCTTATCCTTCTCTCTCCATTCCCACTCAGATCCAGGAAACTCCCCATCTTCTACTGCTTTGGACAGTAGCACTGAGCGTCTGCTGCAAAAGAAACAGCACACCAACAGCAGCCTGCTTTGTAACCCAGACTTCTCGTCCTGTGGTTTAGCTCCACGCTCTCCCAGCACCTTACCTCGAACCTATGCCACCGCTACCGCTGCCGCCAGCAGGGACAGCCAGTTGGACAGTCTGATGATGCAGCACACTGATGTGGAGAGGAAGAAGGAGGTGTTCCTGGACCACCTGAGGCAGAAGTATCCCCACCATGCTGCCATTATCATGGGACACCAGGACCGCATGAGGAAACAGGTGAGATTTAAAGCTGTGCCCACTGCATTATGTGGAGTAGACATTGCTGACCTCAGTGGAATCCAGAATGAAGATAAAACATCAGATCCAAACCTTTAAAGAGGCCATATGTAAGATTCCAAGCATTTTACGTATTGCTTTAATTTAGTAATCACTTTTAATTGCCAATGTGTGAACTGGTTGTAATATAACTTAAAAAATTAGACCTTCTCCGACTTTTTCTGTTGCCAGTGTACTGATTTATATTTGTTTCTATGTAGGGATGAGGGTCGGCTTTTTTCACAAAAAACCAAAGGATGTAAAGTTTATGGGCACTCCTGAGTGCCTTCTCTCTCCACTTCCATACAGTGTCACCATTGTGCAACACTAGCCAACATTAGCTTTTATATGGAGTCTACAAATGGCTGACACCGACCATAACAGTCCAAAGTCAAAGCCAACATTACAGCAAAGCTTGTGAAATAACTTGTGATATTGTGATTTTAGCTGGCTAAGTGAACTTGCTTTCTAATGTGGACAAACTGCTAAATGGTAAATGTTTCAAAATATTAACCAGCAGCAACTACCAGGTGAACTAACCGGGCACCCCTTTAAAGTCCATTCTGCTCTGGTGGCTTCAAATTCTTACATCAATTCAATTCAATTCAATTCAATTCAATTTAATTTTATTTGTATAGCGCCAATTCATAACAGAAGTTATCTCAGGACACTTTTCAAATAGAGCAGGTCTAGACCGAACTCTTTAAAACATTATTTACAGAGACCCAACAGTACCACCATGAGCAAGCACTTGGCGACAAGGGCAAGGAAAAACTGCCTGTTAAAAGGCAGAAACCTAGGACAGATCCTCCGGCTCTAGGTGGGTGGTCGTCTGCCTCGACCAGTTGCGGTGAGAGAGAGAGAGAGAGAGAGAGAGAGAGAGAGAGAGAGAGAGAGAGAGAGAGAGAGAGAGAGACACACAGACAGACAGAAAGACAGGTGCACATCACACTGTACAAGTTGCATACTGGACCAGGATTGACATACAAACCATAGTGATGTCCCAAATCATGCTGGTAGGCCCCGCCCCTTCAAAATCTTATTTCCAGTGAGCACAGAGAAACTTTTTCCACTTTCAGTACATGAAAGTGGAAGTTAAGAAAAAAATAATTTCCCCCTGGGATTATTAAAGTATTTCTGATCTGATTCTGATTAGTAGGAATGCTTAATGAATATTCTAATTATACCACTTATTAATCATTATGCTGAAGCAGAATTTGGATTGCATTATCAGTAACACTTGATGGAGGTGTGGCAGTGACATTTATAGGCTACTATTGTGCTGTATTAGTTCAGTGGTTATGTTGAGCTGGTGGGGGTGTCCACTGCAGTAAGTCAAGGGGGGCTGGCTTGCTGAAGATGACTCATCAGTGACTTGTTGTCATGTCATAAAGTTGACAAGTTTCACTGCTCTTCTAGTCAGACTGGTAAATCCAGCATTATTTGCCAAGGTGGAGTTTTGTTGTTATAGTAGGCTACACCATCAGCAGACAGACAGAGGTGGGGTTTTTTTAGTGTACCTGGTTCTGACACAGAGACACATCCTGCAGACAGAAACAAAAAAAGTTCGATAGAGAGGAAGAAATAAGAAGAAATTGACGTGAAGCGTCGGGACATTTACCTCCAAGCCCGGAGTCAGGTGGCGTTAGCTGGAAGTTAGCACCTTGAAGTCAAGACTGCAAACCTCTCTCTTCAGGTAAGCTCATAGCCCCTTTTTGAATGTAACTTAAACCGACCACCATTTGCACCGACCGACAGTCTTTTTTCACAGCTTGAAAGAAAACATAGTTTAGCAGGTAGCTACATTAAGTTAACGTTAGCCAGCAGCGTTTAAACTTTAAGTGAACACAGCCATTCCATATGCTGGTGGCTCAGCTGTGACACACGCGCTCTGCTCTACGAGGAGACGTGTAGCGCCGTACTCCGTTTATCATCTGTCCATTTTTCGGATGCGTCGATTAGTGACAATTATCCACAACAGGCAAAATAAAACGAGGGACGGCAAACGAAGCGTTGCCGTACACTCTTCCGTTCGGCGTTAGTCTAATATACCAAACATTACTTAAATGAAATATCTACTTGTAGAATAGTTACCACCAATATGCTAACTGTCAGCAAATCGTAAGGGATTAAATTTAACTGAAATATCTTCAGAAACGGTTCTTAATCGCTGTATACATAAGGAAAGGATGAGATGTTCCCAGAACGCCACATGTCTCAAACCAAGAATCGCAAGCACTATGCAAACAGAAAATGAGGTGAAACTTGGATCTCATTTGAGAGATCTCCAAATACATTCAGATTAGCCACAATTACAGTGTGGCTACTCAATGCAGTAGCAGTGTTGCTAGAAAGGACAGAATCATAGATATCCAGGTATAGCCTTGATTCTGTTGAATCATCACTCTGCAGCTCTGGTTCCATCCACATAGCTCAATTTCACTCCAAAGTAATTTATTAGGCCTAACTACGTAATATGTAATATATCAGATTAGTATTTTAGACAGTAAAATGAAATCCAGATATATATTATATACTGTAGGTACATAATGTACAGTACAATAATGCAGGCTACACAGCCTGAAGCTTATGATTTTTTATTCCAGCCCATACTCTCTCCTCTTCTCTCCTTTTCTTTTTCTCCTTCCTCACTCCTTCTCTCCTGTTCTCCAATGTTCCATCCCTTTACCCACTGGTTGTCCTTTTTGTCTGTTTATGTAACACATTCTTACATGTGGGGCGGCTGTGGCTCAGAGGTAGAGCGGGTCGTCCCCTAATCGAAAGGTTGTTGGTTCGATCCCACCTCCTCCCCCCACATGTCGAAGTATCCTTGAGCGAGATACTGAACTCCGAATTGCTCCAGATGCTGTACATCGGTGTATGAATGTGTATGAATGAGTTAGTTTCTGTTCGATGGACTTTGCCATCGCTGTGTGAAAGGGTGAATGTGGCATGTAGTGTAAAAGCGCTTTGAGTGGTCGGAAGACTATACAAGTACAGGTCCATTTACCATTCTCTTCTAGTGTCCTTTGTTGTAACTGTATTGTAATGACCGCCAATTGCAAAGGATGTTTTCTTTGATTGTTTATCTGATGCTCTTAATGGTTGATTTTAATTCTAATTGGCTTGACAAAACACATAGAATATTGCCTGTTAAGGAATGAATGACTCTATAGCCTGCCTCTGTGCCAAATGTTTAGTATTTATTAGTAACATAGACCAATAATCCATTTATTTAATTATTGTTTTTTTTAAGTTACTTTTTTGGCCTTTTTATTGCCTGTATTAGATAGGGACAGCTGAAGATAGACAGGAAGGTGGGGTAGAGAGAGGGGGGATGACACGCAGCAAGGGGCCGCAGGTCGGATTTGAACCCTGGGCCACTGCAGCAAGGACTCAGCCTCAGTACGTGGGTCACCAGCTCTGCCCACTGAGCTAACCGGGCGCCCATTAATTATTGTTTTTGCTGTTTGGTTTTGTCTGAATGTCGAGAGGTCATTTGAAAAGGCATACTTATTGTGCTTATTATATAGGGGCGTAAAATTGTCTTAAAATGACAATAATATAATTTTAAAATAAAGTAAAGTAAAGTAAAGTCAGTAGTTATTATGACAGGCCTAATCACAATTGTGATAACCTTATGGAACCTTTATGGAGGTCATGTCTACATTTGCTGAAGTTATGCCCCAGAGGAACAATAGAAAATAGATGTTACCTTGGTTCAATGACCTCCTATGGCATTTAAGATAAACAACAGATGCAGCCTTAAAAAAATGTATAAGTCAGGTTTGGCTACTGACTGATGGATAATGCATTTCTGGACAGCACATTCCCCTTGTTGTATTTTACAACTAGAGGTATTGTTATAAATATTGTTCAGTAGTGATTAAGTGTGCTTGTTTGGGTGGTGGTGTATCGTGGAAACCCTTCTTGATTCTGTTTTCCTTTTAAAAATACAAAGACAATTTAGACTGTCAGCCTAAAAAAGTCTCCAGTTAGTTAAAAAAATATTTATTGGTCTGATTTGTTGTTTTTGTCCAGGCCCGGTGGACTGCAAATGGCATTACGAGCGCTAGAATGAGCCAGAAGAACCACACGCAGATGATCTGTTTCATGTACTACTGTCAGGATATAATGAAAATTTCAGCAAATATGACAAAAGATATTTTCATAAAAGTTACCTAAAGCAGCTTTAAAGATTTTCTTGTAAAACACGAAGACAGCATGGTATTTCATTATTGCAGTTATTGTGACAACCCTGTGATCACTGACAAATACATGTAATTAACTAAACTACGTGCCAGTGTTTTGTTGAGGTGGAGACTGAAACCAGTGCCAGTTTCCAGTTCAGAGGCTTGGCACTCCTCAACCAAAGCTGACAGGGTGTATAATGGTCCCTACTTAGCCTCAGTTTGGCACTTGACCACTGTTAAATATCAGTGGGGCAAACTGATTCAGGGTTGGACTGCAGTCATTTAAACTCTTTAGTCAACTTAAGTGTGAAGTCATTCCTTGCAGAAACGAAGATCATTAGCTCTGCCTCTAAATGCCAGTGAATTTAGTGTATATAAGCTAATCATTAATACACCATGCTGAGTGACAGTTGACTGTCTGCAAACAACCCAGCATGTACTGTGGTGGTGGTTCAATGGTAGCTCAGCCAGTATCACAGGTATCAATGCCAGTCTAGTGAGTGCACCATTTGTGTGTTTTATAGCTGCAACAGTTAATTGATAAATTGATTGAAAGAAAAGGATTTCTCAATTTTGAAAATCAAATAATAGTAATTTTTTCATTTGGGATTCCAACAAAAATACAAAGTATAAAATTGTTAAGAAAAACAAGAACAAAATATTGTCTGCTTATTGAAAGTAACACTATTACTAGTATGGATAGTTCAAATATATAAACATAGGAATAGTTACTAGATAAAAAGTGAAAAATTAAATAAATAAAATTATAAAAATATATAAAAGAATTATAGATAGACCGATTAATCAGGATCTTTATCTAGCATTTTGAGATAATCGCCAGGCTGATAATCAAAAAATGTCTTCAGACACATCTGCAAGCAGCCTCGTCGGTGTGGCGTGTGGAACGATGTTAGTGCTCTCTTTTGTGAGTTTTGAAAAAGTTAGCCCTGTAACTCTCATGCACCCTGCTGTAAACGTTTGCCTTACATTTCCTCAGTCGTCCTCAGTAAGTCCTCACTAAATTTCCTCAGTCATCATCTTTTCTAAATGTTAAGACTTTTCTCTCTGTGATGACAAAATGACAACAAATCTAATTATAAACTATAATTGTTATAATACAGTAGGATGACCTCCCTTCTGTCATACTGTACCCCGCTCTTTGTTTTAATATTGACATTATACACCAATTAGCCATAACATGACCACCTGGGCGCTCTGGTGGTCATAATGACCACACGGGCCAGCCTTCATTTTCCACGTGCATCAATGAGCCTTGGTCCCCCATGACCCTGTCTCCGGTTCACGACTTTTCCTTCCTTGGACCACTTTTGATAGGTACTGACCTCTGCAGACCGGGAACCCCCCACAAGAGCTGCAGGTTTGGAGATGCTCTGACCCAGTCGTCTAGCCATCACAATGTGGCCTTTGTCAAAGTCGCTCAAATCCTCACACTGCCCATTTTTCCTGCTTCTAATACATCAGTGTTATTCACTTCACCTGTCAGTGCTATCAATGTTATGGCTGATAGGTATATATCAGCCTATGGCAGCCCTGCTTTCTACATACCTTCATCGACCATAGAAAAACCCAAATTGGTTGACTC